AGCTTCCAATATCTTGGCAGCCAGATAGTGTCGGACGGTGGCACCAAGAGCGACATGGGTGCACGGTTAAGAAGGCGAGGGCTGCTTTTGACAGTGTGCGAAATGTATGGAGAGCAAATCAGATCAGTCGACGTCAGAATAGAGTGCTGAGGATGGTTCTTGATCGTCCTTTCGGTACTAGAATAACAAATTTACATGAAGAGGCAGGCATTGCCAAAATAGATTCCAAAATTAACGAAATTAAGACTAAATTTGCACAAAAATGTAATTTGTATATAGTAGGTTAGGTGTACATAGTAGTTGTAGGTTAGTTGTAGTTGTAAATAGTAGTTATAAGTATCCTTTTTTCCAATTAAAATCAAACCAATCCCACCAAGGTGGTCATACTTTAAAATAGGTCTGATAGGACTAGAAACTGTAAATAATAATTAAAATCTCACTATACTGAAGTTGAAAAGACGCATCTGTGTCACTTGAAAAATTGATACATGTAAACCACACAAACACAAGAAATAAAGATCATTTAAAGTCAAGATCAGTCGACGCACCAAAATCCGAATTTTTTATAAGAACGTGAAGTCTGTTCTGCTATACGCCAGTGAAACATGGTGTGTATCAGCGGAGAACACTCAGAAGCTGCAGGTGTTTATCAACCGATGCCTGCGGTACATAATTTGTGCCTGGTGGCCCCACAATTGGATTTCTAAAATTCCGAGCTTCATCGTTTGTGCCATCAGAAGCCGATAGAGACAGAAATTCGTGAACGGAAGTGGAAACGAAATCTGCAAGCAAGCACTGGACTGGAATCCAGCAGGACATCGCAGCAGAGGCAGACCCAGAGGCTCGTGGCGGCGGAGCCTAAACAGTGAAATTAAGAACGTTGACCGAAATTTGACTTGGGCACAGGTCAAGGCCAAAGCTAGTTATCGCCCAGGATGGAAAATTTTCACAAAGGCCCTTTGCACCCCTGGAGGTGCGCAGGATCGTTAAGTAAGTAAGTGTTCAAAAATAGATTTTTTTTCTTTGTGATTTGAGCATTGGTAATCCAAAAATAATGATTAACTTATTAATTCTGTTCTGTGGTGATACAAATTTTTCGAAGTTTAGCATATTTCTATGATTGATATTCAAGCGCAGCATCATAGACAGGGCTGGTAGGTTCTTACTTATTACGTTACACATGATGCCACCAAATAGCAATCTGCAATTTTCCGGATTATCCCGGTGTTTTGTAGATGTCCCTGGTTGTGCGATATACATTTAAATGCATAAGCCAATGAAGCCAGCAGCTTCAATATGGGTTAAATAGATCATTACTACAAGAGCAGCATTTTTCGTAGATCTTGAATTTGTTTCTGAGTTCGAATTCTTACAAAAAATACGTTAACCTTGAACATTTTCCAGAACTTTTTTAGAACCATTCCCCTTCTTTGAACTTGCCTCTGAAATAAGCTTAACGTAAATAATATTGAATTTTTCATATTGGATTGCAGAATAATTCACCAAATTGGAAACAGATTATGTCTCTTCAAATTTTTAATAATTCTTTCAAGAATTTTCCGAAGGTTCCTTCCATACATCCATTTTATCTTTACTTGAATTCTCCTTAGAATCCTTAATAGGAATTTCCTATGCAATTAACATCAGAAATGTCTTAAATCTCTGCTCAGAATAATTTTGGACTTTCCCCCTGAATATTTCTTCTCCTCCGTGTTCCCATGGATCTCCTCAGAATTCTCAAAACAAAAATCCGTCTCAGAATACCCTTGGAACTCTTCTTAGAATTTCTTTCAAAATCCTTAAAATTCTCTTGAAATCAGCCTCAGAAATCGCCCAGAATTCCGTTAAAACTATCCGCAGGATTTGGAGACCTTTGGAGTTCATAGGATTTCATTGGAATTCTCAACAGAGCTATCTTTAAAAAAATTTCAGAAATTTTAAATACTTAATTTGGACCAGGACCCCTCATCCAATAGGCGTAGAATTCTTATCAGAACTCTCGTTAAAATGCACCTGAAGCTCTTCTTTAAATTATATTGGATTTCTCACAAAAAATGCTTTGGAAATGAATTTTGCGTCTTTAAAAATTTAATATCAAAAGTGACACCCGTATGTGTTAGTCCCAGGACCGATTTTTTCACCTCCGGTTTAGCCTTAAACCGGCTATGAATATATGGGTAAACCTGGTTTAAGAATTAAACGGAAGTGAAGAAACCGACCCTTACACACATTTTGTTTCCGTGTTCGGTAAATTTTACCGAAATCAGAACAGCTGAACGTTCGGTAAAACTTTGACCTTCATTTTAAAGGCAATTGAATTTGAAAATAGTTTCAAAATATGTTCAACCTTGTTTAAATGATCAAATCTTGTCATTTTAGTGGAGATTTAGTTTCAAAGATGCTGAAAAGCAATTGAATTGAATTGCATAAATTTTACCGAACAGTTCAGCTGTTCGGATTTCGGTAAAAATTACCGAAGTCGGCGATAATTTCTAAGTGTGTAGAGCACCTAAATTTACATGAGACTTTTGTAGTGTGTACTTTGGTATTCTTCTCTCATGCCTAGAATTCCTATGAAATTATCTTCAAATTTCCTTTGGAATTTTGATTAAAATATCGTGGTCATTCTTTAAAGACTTCTGAAAATCTTGCACAGGTCAATATCCTTGAAATATTTTCAAGGTTCAGAGTTAATTTCGGGAACAGGAACTATATTTTCCCAGTTTTTCCCTGGTGTTTTAAAATTCTTTGATTTTTTTCAGTTCACTGGACCCCGTTAGTTTGAATAGATCGAATCGAAATTAAACGGCACTCGTTTGAAATTTGTTTAACTGATACCCCTACAGAGGAGCCCAATGGCGTTATGCAACAGTGTAGGGGTACCAGTTAAACAAATTCTATTGTTTGTGAAAGTGACTATATTTTAGGAAAATAGTGACTTTTGGTAACGCTTACTTCAAAAGAGTTATCTAGCCACTAAAACGTGACCTGCTACCAACCCTGTCATAGACCAACATTTGAAGACTATAGAGAGAATTAATTTTTACTCTGGTTGAATTTATCCTAGCCCTGCCACACTTTCCCCTACAATGGAACAACTCGTATGGCAATGTTCATTGTGTGTCATTTATTCCTTGTACCACTTGTTGATACTAATCAATGGCTTCAAGATTATTAGAGCGATGATATGCTCTAATAATCCTGAAACCGGTGATTAGCATCAACAATTTGTATAATTCGTAGGGGGAGGAGGGGCGCAGTGAGCATCCGCAAGCCAAACTGCGGGCTCTGGATCTCCAGCTGCATGAAACAAATCAACTGGTAGTAGGTTTAATATCTTTATGATATTGATCCTACCACCGACCAACGGCTGGAAGTCCAAGCTGGTGCACGGGATGCTCACTATGCCCCACCTGTTCACTATTCTCCTCTTACCCCTACGTAACAGAATTCTCCACGTTTCCAAGGTTTCTCAGGTGGATCTTCTAACCTCTTGGTCCTCTCCTGATTAGGTTTACATCTGGAGTTTCATGTTCATGCATTCACCAATACTTCTTCGGATTTCAAGCTTATTGCTTATCGCATATTAGCTTATTACGTCGGTGGTGTAGTGGTAAGCGTGATTACCTCTCACCCCAGCAGGCCTGGGTTCAATCCCAGTCGGCGCCGCCGGGATGTTCTGAGGCATAACATCTCTGATCACGCCTTCCTTCGGATGGGAAGTAAAGCCGTTGGTCCCCGGTTCATGAGTTGATGGGACGATAGGTAGGGTCCAGGTGTGGGAGCTGCCTTCCTGGCACGTCGGTAGCATTGGTGGTCAGCACGGAAAACAAGATCGACGGAAAAAACAAACCAAAGGAAAAAAAAAAAAATATTAGCTTATTGCATGCTTTCAACTTAGGGTTCTAATTGAAAGCTTTCGAAGCTTGTACCATTTCTGCATTCGTATAATTGTGTGGCAAGTACAGTCATACTCTATATGCCCAGCGGAGTCGAGAAGTTTTCCAACCCGAAAAAATCCTAGACCGGACTGGGAATCCAACACAACATGGTCTTGCTTTGTAGCTGCGCCTTTACCGACTGAGCTAAGGAAGGCATTCACCAACAGACAACATCGAAAATCGACAAATTTTACACCATAGCATCGAATCCATCACCCCCAGCATGTGGAGCTCAGTACTGTCCTCATGGCCGTGCATGCCCCGCTTTACGATGTCACTTGTGAAATAAGATGATTGGATTAACAAGGTTCCCTGTAATTACACAATTCTACAGTCACTTAATGAGCACATATTTCATGTTCAACGCCCTAAAACGAAATTGACAACGTCCAATAAAACTGTCGGACAGCAACGAAGCTAAGCTCGAACTCGATCGACCGCTACCACACCGGATTGCAGTCCACACAATCTAGTTGTTTATTATTGCTGCATCCTCGTGGGATAAAGATAGCATCGACCGGTCGCTGAGCTAAGCCGTCACAGGGCAGATGTCCGTCTACGACGACGTGTGAAGTAAATCGAACTTTTTTTTTTTTGGCAACCACCAAATGTTTTCGGACTGTGCACAGACCGGGGTCGAAAGACGGGAAGTGCATTCTTATTTATGTTGCTGTTCCTTTCGCTCTTCTTCCTCTTTTCGTACATTTGACGGTCAAGAGAATTCACTGCCCTTCCGCCTTTCCGTTTGGTTCGCTGAGTGACCGCGATCGTGGTTGGCAGTAAAGGTGCCATGCCATAGGGGTGGGTGGTTGTCTTGGGGGGCACCGTTTCGGAAGATTTAATTTGTTTAATTAAAACGTCTCGTCGTGTTGTTTTGGTTCGACTTCGAGATTTGTGTAGTTGCGCGAAATTTTTCACCGCGGCCGTTTTGGATCATTTGCTCTCTGACGATCGTTTGGCCTAATGTAACCCATATGGTACTGTGCAGGGACGCAATGATGAAACTATGAGTATGATAATGAAAATTAACTGCTGTCTCTGTTTTCCGCTTTTTCACAGATGTGCCACCGCCATTTCCTTATCGTGAGGTTCAGATTGAGCGCGGCGTCGATGCCAAACAGCTGTACGAGCTGAGTACCGAAATTGGAAGGTAAGCTTCATCCGTTCACGTGGCTAATGAGTTCACCACCGGGTATGGATGGTGGTGGTGGTCATTAGGACTGATCCCGTTTTCTTACAGCAACTTAAAGCTACAGCAAAAAGCAAGTACGGAAACAGACCTATTGTCTCGCACGGTCCTTACAATGTGGCAAATTGTCACTAAATATGCCAGGGCTGGGAACAGGACACTAATGCAGTGACAACGATGGCATTATTCGCGATTTGCTTTCACCTGGTGGATCCCAACTCACGTGTTTGTTGTGCATTTCCCGCGCGCCGGCCGGCGATCCGATGGGGAGGGCGCGTAGAAGCTTGATTTATTGCATTACCGGCACAGAAACAGCTGTTATTGCTACGTTACTTTCGCTGTCGCTAATTATAAAATCGATGAAAAATGGTAACCCAGCAACACTTGGAATGAATGGGACGCAGGTGATCAACCCTAAAAACCGTCGGAAACTGGTGGATATTAAGTTATGGAAATTACCAATTACCAGAACTTATCAGATTTGAAACAAATTGCTGATTTTCCTACGAGATTGTGCAATGTTGTCCCATTCAAATTGAAAATTTAGAATCTCGATGACCGTTGATGTCTGTAGAGGAATACCTGTACATAGAAAGATAATTAAAGAGAGCATAATGTCCAGTTAATCGCATTATCTCAATCACTTTTCTAAAGCATGTTATAAAATTGTCGAATAGGTGAAATGGCTCTAATGTTGGCCTATGGATCTAAGATTGGGTCCATCGCTAAAAATCTAGAAGAGCGCGTCATTGCGACGGTACTAATGGATATTATATTATTGAAAATTTAGTCGATTGCTGCATTTATGTATGGGCCCAAATTAGGGGCATTTAGGCCGACATTACATCCATTTCCCCTATCGAACAGATAAATTAGAATGTTGAAAACCGCACTGGTTTATTTTTCAATTTTAGCTTCATAACAGATAGATCGAAGTATGTAGGTCACACTGAAAAAATTAAGTGTTTTTTTTTGGTGCTGCGTTTGTTCCACGGATTAAATGGCAGAACACTGGTAATAGTTTTTAGTTCGTGATAAGAATTTGTGAACTTTATTGAATCTGGTGCATTGAGAGTAGAAAAATGTTACAAACAATAAGTTTTTATGAAAAAGCTTCAAATCCACAATTCTCGAGTAACATTTGAAATGGGCCTATCAAGACCAACAATTGAAATGGCCCTAACTCCATTTTATAAACAAACATTGTAAGGCCATTTTCTCGCGAACCAAAGGCCGCCAACGCAAACCAACATACTGAACAGGTAGGGGAAATTCTCCTCTACCCGATTGTGTGTTAGGTTTTCGAATGTAGGTTTCGGTTTGCGAGAAAATGGCCTTACAAGGTTTGTTTACAAAATGGAGTTGAGGCCTTTTCAATTATTGGTCTTGCTATGTCGAAAACGTAAACAAATCGGGTTTTGATACCATTATTTAGCACTGTTTGATAGCTACTAATCGTGTAGGAAAGTTCCTCATAATTGAGAAAAATCATTAAAAATAACTCGATTATCGAAACGGCCGATCAACGAAATTTTTCAATTCATTAATAGGCCCGCACGCTAAAACGGCCAACCTTTCATTTATTAAATTTCATTGATAGGCCTAGTGCCGTAGAAGGGCCGATGATTGAAAATTTTCAAACCAAAGTTAGGTCCTACTGCTTGAGGCAGGGCCGATGATTTGTTTTGAATTTATTTGACGTTGCGAAAAGGTTTAGCAAAGGGCGTACCATTCCTGATGACAAGCACAACGGCTTAACAAAAAGGGCCTATCAATTGAAAGATTCACAAAAAGGCTTATTAATTTATGAAATTAAAATGTTATCGATTTTCATATATTTTTGAAAGGTTTTCACATATTTTGGATGTTGTATACTGAGATACAGTTACTATTGTTATTGTGAACAATATAAATGCCTAAAATACTTCAATTTTCTTAAATATGAGTTGAATAGTGGCGGAAAAATTTTAAATTCATTTTCTGGTTTGTTTACGTTTTGGACATAGGCCTATTTCAAATGTTACTCTAGAATTAGTGCTTATAATAAGGACGCACCAAGATCAACGACGTTTTTTTTTTTATTCTGGAAGTCCCAAAGTTTTCCAGGTTTTTCCACGACCCAACGTAAAATTTCTAGATGTTTAAACACACCTTTTTTTTAAAGCGTTAACAAATATGTTAGTTTTGGGAAAACAACAACTTGAGTGCCACAAACGTTTTTAAGGCATGGCAATTAGTTTTAAAAGAACAGCTTTACAATAAAAACTAACAAGTTTATTTCTTTATAACCAGATCAATGATCTGAGAACTCACATTGTCTTAAGACCCCAAATGACAAAAATATTCGCTGAATCTTGAAAACTTTTCTTAATCCAGGATCATTAAAACTTTTCTAAGCACGACAAATAAAAAAAAATAAAGTCTTATAACTTTTTTTTTTAATTCTGCATCTTGGTTTATTTTAGTGTCCAGAATTTTGAATATAAATCTATGTTTGAATTATCTTGATACCATTTGAACTCTGCACAGGATATCTGAAGAATTTTCCCAAGAATTTCCATAAAACATTCTCAGAATTTTTACAGAGTTCATTAGAACTCTCTCTAAGCTAACAATTCACCCTGCACTTCTCTTCAAATTCGTAATAACTTTTGCAGTATTACTTATTTTTTTTAAAGCTTTATTAGAGAGGTTTTTAGCCGTTGGCTAGTTCATCTGTATAAAATGGGAGGCCCCAGAGGGGGGTTCTGCCAGCAAATTTTGTTACGGAGTTGGCTTACAATTCACATGTACTCAAATAGAAGCAATTAAAACAGATTCCAGTAAAAAGACTAACAATACAGGCAACGAGAAAAAAAAAAAACAATCTGGTACATCAAAGTTAGGTAGGGTTTTGAAAGAGATCGGAGCTCCACCGTAGGAGGGGTAATCCCCCGTCCGGTAGAGATGTACCGTCAGCTAAAAGAAAGTTAAAAGGACCTAAATGTTGTTGTATAACCCAGCGTCCTTGAGGAAATAAATAACTGTCGCTAAAGTGGAAGGTTCGTCGCCCAGTATGTCCCTAATGCTGTTGGGAAGTGCGTACTGCTCCCATAGTTGTTGGTATTGCGGACACAGGCATAGGATGTGTTCCACCGATGCTGTGGTTCCGCAAACGTAGCACATTCTGTGGAACTGCGTCCCACCAAAACTATGTGAGATCCTTGTATGGCCTGTCCTAAGACGAGAAACCATCTTCTGGTCCCGTAGTTTCGACATATCCGTCCACTTGCTCGTCGTTCCTTTGATTCTTCGGATGAATAGGGATTGGGATTGGCACCACTCTGCTTCCCAGGCTTCCCACATTTTGCTGACTATCCATCGCTTTATGTCCTGTAGTGGCACTTCGTCGGTGTAACGGGAGCCAGCTGGTCCAGACCCTGCCAGGCTGTCGGCTTCGCTGTTTCCTGGGATACCGCAGTGCCCAGGGATCCAGGAAAACACCGTGTTCGGAGGTGTGGCCTCCACAATACCCTGTATCCAGGGGTGAGTCATGGTCTCCGATGTAAGGGCTTGTATCACACTGTACGAATCGGATAGCACCAGTATGGGTCGGTCCGAGGGTGTTGTCACGGCAACAAAGATGGCCGCAGCTTCGGCGGAGAAAACCGAGCATTGTGTGCTGCTCATCGGTGCTGAAATTCCGACTACTCCTATTTCGACCCCGGCTCGGGAAAGCGATCCGTCTGTGTATATGTGGGCATGGGTTGGGTAGTCCGAGCCTAGCAGTTCGGCTATTATTCTCTTGAGCGCTGCAGAGTTATCTCCAGCCTTGAACCTGCTTTTTATCCGACTCTCGATTTTTGGTGGAGGTCTGCGCCAATTTTGTCTTCGTACCAGTGGACCTTGGCCACTGGGGGAGCTCCGCATTGGCAGTCATGCGGAGGAGTCTGTTCCCCTCATCGAGGAGAAAGATCCTGTCATTTCCGGAGGTCATTGCGGTAAAGGCAGCGGCTTTCGTTGCAATTGCTGCGGTTATACGATGGCGGAAGGGCAGAATACCCGTTTCGATGCATGCGGCATCGGCGGGCGTTGACGGAAGAAGACCGGAGACAATCCGAACGTAGGTGTTAAAAGTTGGTGCTAGTATCTGCACGAGCTTTTCGGTGGCGATGCACGTCATCTCAAGACCGTACAGTAGGCGACTATCGATGACGGCTCTTGCAACCCGGAAACGAGTGTCGCGATTGTTAGACCGGTGGGGGCGGGAGATAGTGCGGATCAAGTTGATCCTACTGCGGCAGTCGTTCTTGATCGCCTTAAAGTGCTGCTCGAAGTTGAGGGACCGGTCAACAAGTACCCCCAGAATACGGACCGTCTTCTTCAGTGGTATGGGCTGGCTTTGAACTTTAATAGGTGGCCCGGTGCCACGGTGCCGGGATGGACACACGTGGTACCTGACGCTTTTGGTGGCCGAAAGCTGGAAACCTACCGCGCTGGCCCATCTGGCTACAGCGGAGACTGCTGCCTGGGCCTTGATCCTGTTACGTGCTGCTGTTGGGCCGGTAGTTATGATAAGTACATCGTCTGCATACACGAAAATGTAAACATTTTTCGGCAGTCCTCCGAAAACTCCGTTCATGGCCACAAGGAAGAGGGTAACGGCGATAACTGAACCTTGTGGGACGCCCGTCTCTTCTCTGAAAAGCTGGGACCTCGTGTTGCCAACTGCGACTCTGAAAGAGCGATCGGTTAGGAAATTTTTGATGAAGTGGACCATGGGTCCTCACAGTTCCAAGTTGACAAGCTGCTCTAAGACGAGGGGCGTCCACGTCCTGTTGAAGGCCTTCGATATATCCATCGAGACGATCTCGGTGTGGAGACCGCTATCGTTGGCACTCTTGAGGACCTCCCTAATGTTGCTAGGCCGGAGGCGAACCAGCCCAAGGCTGAAAACCTCCTTAATAAAGAAAACCTAACCTAACCTAATGTTGCAAAATAAGTTGACGTTCCGTACCCTTGACGGAAGGCGTGCTGTCGATGGTCTAGCAGGTTTTCGGCTTCAAGGAAATGCTTTAGCCTCCTGTTAACCATTCGCTCCAGAAACGGAATATTGGCCGGAACTGGCTAGCTTTACGGGTTGTTTCATTGGCTATTACTTATATTTCCCCAAAGAATTCCTTGAAATGGAATACACAGAAACTCTCTTGAAACTGTCGACTGTTATGACTCAATTTTATGTCAAAATTGATAGTTGAAGATGCTGATTTCAAATAACAGACTTAAGTGGTAATTTTTATACGATAGATCAGTGCTAACATTTGAAAACGGCACAAAAGCCATTTGTAAACAAATGGTTTGTGGGCCCTTTACTCACTACTTGAAGTACACCCACGCGACACAACAGCAACATCGGGTAGGGGAAATTTTCCCCTTCCTGACGATGCTGTTGGTTTGCGTGGGCGTTCTTCGGGTAGCGAGTAAAGGGCCCACAAACCATTTGTTTACAAATGGCTTTTGCGCCGTTTTCAAATGTTAGCACTGAGATGAGGAGATGAAAGTATAGAGTTGATAGTTCCGTTAGAGTACGGCAGTGTGAAAATTGTATATAGAGAGTAAAAAGCAAGCATTTCCAAACCTACGACTGGATGCCTTCACGCAGAAGTAATACAAAACATATAGTCAAAGTCAAAATTGATGTTCATATATGTCAGTCCCTTAGCACCTAAATTTGCATGATTCTTTCTAAGTGTGTAGTTTCAATATATAGACACCAGAATTCATCAGAATTTTTCTCGGAAATAAAATTACCTTGAAATTTTCATCGCAATCCCTATCATATTGTCCTCATAATTTCTATGGAATACTAATAAGAATTCCATTGTAATGTTCATCAGATTTTGAATTCTCCTTTTTGCCTTGGTACTCACAACGAATTTCCCATAGAATAAACTTGCAATCCTTCTCACAAGTCCCAAGAATTCTCTTCAAAATAAGTTTGGAATTCAAGTCAAAACTCCTTTGGAATCCTCCTAATTTCTTTGAAGTTCTCCTGAAATTGATCTTTACTTTAATTGTAATCATCCTTTGAATACCTTTAGTATTCTTCTAAAAGTCCCACGGAATTATACGTATAATTCCTTATCTATGCTCCCAAAAATTTCTTGAAAGGAGGAGAACCTCCTAATTATCGTGAAATTATCATCAGAATTCATTACGAAATTTCCTTTAATTAATATTCAGTATTCCCTCGGAATTCTACTCAGAACTACATTGGAATTATACGGTTAGGATTCACCTGGTATGTGAAGTTCCTCAGAACTACATTTAAAGTAATCCTTAGTTTACTCTTAAAGTTCCATGAAAATTCTCATAAAATTGGGCAAGAACCTTGATCTTGATTTTTTTCAAATAATCGTTTTCTGAGCACTTTCATCTCGATTTTTTAAATCAAGATTTAAAGCAAAATATTTTCTTTTAAGCTAATTGACAGCACGCTCCCATACAAAGTCCCACCGGAACGGTGCTAAGATGGTGATTTTTTCTAATGTTATCGAGAAATCGTTAAAAACGTACCGTATAAATTGCGAGTGAGTTCCGCGTTCGTCTCGCGTTTTTTTTTTTGAAAATACGTTAATTTATACAAATAATAAATAAATAAACGTTCACCCCCTTCCCATTTCTTCCACAGAGGCAAATTCGGAGTCGTACATATCTGCAAGGAAAAATCCACCGGCACTCGGCTGGCGGCCAAATTCATTCAGATCGTCAAAAAAGGTGATCGACGGAACATTGACCGCGAAGTTCACATGATGAATGTCCTGCGTCATCCAAAAATTGCTCAGCTGTACGGAGCCTACGAATTCGACCGCACCTTCTGCATGGTTATGGAATTGTAAGTTCGTTTGGTTAGTTTATTGGTGTAATTATTGAAAGTAAATCTTATTTCTTACAGAGTTGAGGGAGGCGAGCTGTTCGATCGCGTACTGGACGATAAGTTCATCCTAACGGAGAAGGCTTGTTCCATCTTCATGCGACAGATTTGCGACGCCATTCAGTACATCCATAGCAACAACATTGTGCACTTGGATCTGAAGCCGGAAAATATCCTCTGTCTCACGGAGAGTGGGAACCGGATAAAGATTATCGATTTTGGTCTGGCTCGTGAGTACGATCCAGACAATAAGTTGCAAGTGCTGTTCGGTACGCCGGAATTCGTAGCACCGGAAGTGGTAAACTTTGAGGCGATCTCCTTCGCGACCGACATGTGGAGTGTGGGCGTTATCGCTTATGTGCTGTGAGTTGAATTTGCATATAATAGGTGAAAAAAAAGTTATGCATAATTTCTTTTCTTCCAACAGGGTGTCCGGCCTTTCTCCCTTCGCTGGCGAAGATGATATTCAAACCATGGCAAACATCACGATAGGCCGATATGATTTCCTGGATGAAGCATTTGACACCGTTTCTGAAGAAGCGATAGATTTCATCAACCGCTGTTTGGTCAAAGACCAGAAGTAGGCGTCGTTTTTATTATCGCACACTGACATGCTTGATCAAAATTTTATAACCCATTCGAATATTTCAGGGAACGACTCACCGCAGAGCAAGCGCTGAAGCACAAATGGATCAAACGAAAACCGCAATACTATCCGACAAATCGACGACCTTCAATCACCACCTTCAAGCCAGTGCTGTTAGAAACCAACAATAACAACAACAACACGGTTTGTTCATATCAATCTTCATTCTTCAAGCGCTCTATTTCCATGGAGACGCAGCATGGTTGACTTTGATTCATCTTGGTTTCGTTTGCAGTCCGACGCCGAAATCGACAAAGAGAACCTCAAGGAACTGGTCTCCAAGTGGAACGAGAACCCGAACAATCGCTACGCCTTCGAACAGGCAACGGAGAATGTCATCTCGCCCAGTGGAGAAACGGTTCAAATCAGACGCCCAGATGCTGGCAGCCGGAGGGGCAGCTTAGCTAGAGGTAAGTCCGAGGGGCTGTGGTTCAATGTGAACCACACCCTTCAACACCTAAAACACACACACAAAGAAAAAAAACAACCCCTTTCCCAATTGGTAAATGCTTAGTAATATTAGTTGTGAGCGATGCTTAGCAAATACTAAATTACGCAGTCAGCCAAATAAAACAAACACTGAAGACAGAAGACAGAGAGAAGAAAGAACGAACGAACGAACCTATATTGACCCTTTTTCGTTTTCTTGTTCCTGCTATATGTTTTCTTGTATATTTCCTCCCACAGATCGAGACATACCTCGAGATATACATTTGCCCGTTTTGGTTGAAAACTAAGTGCCACGCTTTTATAAATAAGCAAAATGTGAGCTTTTGTGTACAGGTTATGATGGCTTGAGTCTAAAATTCAATATGTTACTAACAACATTGTATTGGAGGCGAACCAGCCCAAGGCTGAAAGCCTCCTTAATAAAGCTAAATAATAATAATAACAACATTGAACCGACGATCGTAAGATAACTACACATCTCATTTTGTGATTGCTAATTATGTTTTCAATAAAAACAAATCATGCATTACCACAGCAGGTCAATTACTGGGTGCAGTGAATTTATGCTCCGAACAGGAGAGGGGAAGATCGTATCGTATATATTAGCTATGGCAGATATCACGTAATATAGGCTGTCTTGCATGGAGCACTTATACGTTAAATTTTTACCGGAAATCGTAGATATTTCTTTTCACATCAAGCTAGCCTTTATCACGCGAAATGAGCTATAGTCTGAACATACTATTAATAAGCAGTTCTACAACTTTTCAAGTACAGTTCAATGATTGGAGTTTTCCTTTGTATTCCTTAGAATTCACTTAGAATTCTCTTCGCAATTCGTTTGAAACTGTGCGCATAATTTGAATTCCTTGGAATTATTCTCGGTATTCCCTTGGAGCTCTCCTTAGTGTTTCCTTGCAATCCTTTCCCTATCGGGATCATACGGTCATATATGCTCACTAGAGAGAGCCAAACGAACTGTCAAAGCCAGAGCCAATCGAACAGCGCCTATCTTGATTGCATTGGCAGTGTTGCTAGAAATCACCTAGACATAGGTTGCCAAGGCAGTTTGTTTTGAATCCGCTCCTCTCTTATACTGGACCATCTCTAATGCCCACCTACTATGATTAGTTACATGGGAAAGGGCTCTAATGTTGGCCTATGGATCTAAAGATTGGGCCCATCGATAAAAATCTCCTGTTTTTCAATGGACAATACAAATGTATATTTTTAGTTTGCTAGTGAAAAATTGGCAAAAAATGCTTTTTTTCGGGCCCAATATTATAGACACTTAGACCGACATTTGGGAAATTAACCCTATATCATAGCATAATAGCTACAATATTTTCTTCAGCAAAGTTGTACTTCCTGATGTAGGATAGCTGAGAAATAGCGGTGGGTGGGAAGTAACACCCATCGCATAAATAGAGGTATTACTGTAGTTATACAGGAAAATATGATAGTTTACAACCAGATTGATGAACTACACAGTTCGAAAAAGTAGTGTAAATTTCTGTCACTATGATGCACATAAATGGAGCGGCACATATCATACAAATTCACATTACAGATCGTGTAAATTTATGAGTCATTTAATGAAATATTGTGTGCAACCATCCATCTTTGTAAGCAATATTTCTTGCAAGTTGCTAGTTTACGTGAAAAGGAAGTTTACATGCTTCAATTTTAGCATGCATGGATATTTAGATCTCCATTAAAATTCATAATTTTTTGGTGTGTAGATCTCATAAACCTTATGAAGATTGGATGGTTGATTTTGTTTAAGATATTTTGCTAAAAACTTGCGATATCTACGAGGATAATACAAATGGAGGATAAGTATTTCAACATAAAGAATGCATGCAAGAAATCATCCTCGTTGTTAAAGAAACCTCTGAAATCCAGGATGTTCAGTTGATAATCGCTACTTAAATCACTGAGAGTATCTTCCGAGTCTTCGTATTATGATTCCACCATTTCAGTGAACAATCTGGTCGTGGCTGTTTTAAACTCGCTTCAGTTATTAGCCACCTCTTGCCAGTAATCCACCAATCGACCGCTTCCTTCTACATTGTGCCTTGCGCTGGTCTTCCAATTTTCTTCTTCTCCGGGATCCCATACTAAAGAGCTTTTCTGATGATCTGTTGATGGTTCTGTTTTTTATGAAAATAAAATGATGTTCTATCCCTCTATCATGACTAATTGTTGATGCAGCATGCAGATAGTTAATATCGCTTCCTTCTTCAAAACTTAATCGTCTTGATCTAAAGAAAAGAAAATCGCCACTCGATCAAACCAAATTCAAAGGTGATGTCGCATTCCAGAAGTTTTATTAAGAAAAACAATTATTTAATTTTGGCTAGTAGTTAAATTCCAACACTAGTGTGCATCTTTCAAATTGTAAAGATACAGACAGGCCCTGGGTGTAAACAGATTGTATGCTATTTTTACCACAAAAACGTCAAACACAACAGGAAATGTTTTTGCAACTGAATTATTAACGAAAGAAAAAGTTGATGAAGAGAATCAATCAATGCAGATAGGAACTTTTGAAATGTTCATGTAGTTAGTGTCTTTAGCAAAGTTCATTGTATTAATATTTAATACAACTTTTCCGAAGACACCATCTCTCGACTTTAGTCAAAATTGAATTTTGAGTCTCACTTGTAGGCGTATTACCCAAGTAACCAACAAACTAATCGTTATTTTTGCAATATAATACTGACATATGGCTGATATAAAGTTTTAAAGCTTTATAACAACCTTATATGGCAAATAGGGCGAGTAGAGGACTATTAACGGGCTTGGTGGTTACTTGAGGAATCAAGCAGTAAAGGTTTTGGCAGGTTTTTTGCCGTTTAGATCAATGTGCAGAGAGGTGATTATGACCATTATTGAAAGAAGAGTGGTCCTAGATATTTTGATCAGTATAAATGTAAGAACAGGCGAGCAGAAATCAGTATAAATGTGAGTGACGTCTAATTTAAATCTCCCAGCACTTTTGCAGGGATTTAAATAACGGTCCCCCATAGGGCGATAAATTCAGGTTTTCAAAACTTTTTTCAGCTGTCGTTTCTCTTGATATTATTCGAGTGACACTCCCCTCAGAAAACCCTACGACTTTCCCGTACAATTTCGTTGGAACTATTCTCAGCATTTGAATAGTTTGAATAGTTCCATGGAATGCTCCTATAATCCCAATTATCATCAACTTCTCTCCATACACTCAAAGCAGTACATTTTGGGAAAAAATGCACACGCCAAATCTTGCGATTTTATTTTGGTAGCACAAAAATCGAGCTGATGGCCATTGAGTCCCCTTTGTTTTCGGCCTTCAAATTAAAAAAAAATGCTCAATTTTTACCAAACCAGGGAAAACTATGCCAAACAACTTTGTCGAAGATCGCGAATTTGTATGGCACCAAACTTGACCCACCCTACTGATCATACATCTTAAAATCAGTCTGGAATACACAATTTATATATTTAATATCTACTCACCATAACTGATAAGCGCAATGCTGCATTTCCATTTGGATCCTTCTCTGGAACTTTCTTTGCAAAATTTCCCAAGGGTGGTCCTTTATTTTTTTACATTGGGATATTCTTTGTAATAAATAGCATTCCTATCATCGATTTCTCGTAAACGACCATTCAATCACGCGAAGAGGAATATCTGTGAATTGCAAAATAATCGGTCAAACCCGAGCTCTCAAAAAGTAATTACATACATACATGTTCTAAGGCCTTGATGTCCTCTACTGTCCGAAATCGTCTCCATTCTACTCGATCCATGGCCACACGTCGGCAACCTTGTAGTCTGCAAATAGAAGTTAAAACAAATGATTAATGGTTTGAGGAAGCTATTCCTTTGGACTGCCTCGATCGCCAAATCATTGGGGCACGATTTGTTTACACTATAATCGGTTAGGAATGTCAGGATAGTAACACCAAAAACTGAAAATGATATTAAAAAAAGTTTATGTTGTATGCATAAATGGTGTTTACTGTATGAGAGACTATAGGTACATAAAACTTTGTATTAAATAATAATATGTAACGAAGGTTAAGTAAGATGACTACAGGTACATTTAGCGCAAACTAATGGTTTTACATCTATTTTGAAAAAAAAAGTGAATTTAAGGAAGAGTTTTATGAACTTTGTTGAGTGCTCTACAGAGAATTTCTGAACTGTTATAATGAAATTTTTAAGAGACTCTCAGAGAGAATCTCAAATTTATGTTGGAATAATTCTGAAATTTTCTCGAAGATCGAAGTGTGCTGTGCTCGAAGATGGACGTGACATTATTTTCTCCAGGTAAATATTGCTGATTGCATCTCAAACTGGACTGTCCCAAAAATGCAAAAAGTGTGATAAAAGTGCACGTTTCCGTCAAATCGTTTTGATGTCTTATTGCTTGCATCATAAGGAATAAGTGCACCGAAGACACCAAGACGATTAGACGTAAACTTGCAATTTTATCACACTTTTTAATAAGTGAAAACGCGCTTATTAGTCCAATTTGGTGTGAAATGCGCAATATTTTAATTTTTTTTTTCGTTTGGATAGAGTTCAGTTCAACGTTATACAAAAAAAAATACATAAAGGGAAACGGAATGCAAATATTAATTTGCTTGTCAATAATTCACATTTTTCTCAACATCGAATATGTTTGAGATTTAGATTTGGCAACTCATGCAGAATAACTGTTTTGAACACTGCAAATCAATTCGACTATTGTTGAATAAATATGAATCAAATTCTATGCACATACCTACAGGCGATATATAAGATTAACGAGCCAGAGACGGAGGAGCACTGATGAATTATGAATTCTAAAAAGTTACCAGTTTAAAGTATAATTTTTCTAATGAATGCTTTCTCAATCATCATGAATACCATCATTATTCATTAAGCCTCGGTAAAGAGTGCAGCTTTTTTGTAATAAACAGTAATTAACAACATAACCTATTCTTACATTGCTACCGTACAATTTCTATTCAAAACATTCTAGAGATGGACTCTGCATGGGAAAAAATAACCAAATTAGCTCTCTATTATTTTAAAATGATCGTTATGCTTAAAGGGCCGGGTTTACCCTCAATTCCCCTACCCTTGTATGCGTGATAATGTTTGCACCATTAAGCAATGTCAAAATTCTCAAAATTCTTAAAAAATTCGTTTTCGAGTTTTTTTTTTTATTTATTCAAAGGGGGGATGTTTCTCAGAGTCTTAAACTATGTTAATCATCGATCGAGTTTCTACTTGCTGCAATACGGCCTCCACACGCTTCCGGAATGCACGGCAGGTTCTAATAATGTAGTCTGGATCCATTTCTCTGCAGGTACGGGTCAATGTTTGTCTGAGGCTTGCTGTACTCGGGTGGCGTTTAGAACAGGCATTGGCCTTCATGACGCGCTATATTGAGTAATCCAGCGGATTAAGATCGGGGCTGGATGGCGGCCACATATCCTTCGCTCAGAACGAAAGATGTTCCTGCAAACACTTCTGAGTGCGGTTCGAGGTGTGCCCCATCGGAGCTGCACGGAGCCCCATCTTGTTGAAATACAACATTTGGCTTCGGACCGACTGTTCTTTGATCCACGGAAGAACATACTTACTTAAAATCCCGATGTAGACCTCCGTGTTGACCTTGTCGCCTTCTGGAATGAACACCGGGTTCATTTTTTTGCCATCAGAAGCCACCAATCCGAACACCATAACGCTAGCAGGATGCTTGGTCAGATACACGTTCTTGTGCTCGTCGGCCACGTCTTTTACCGGAAGAGAACTAATATACCGGTTGGTTCTGGAATTTGATACGGGTTCGACGGTAAACATGCTCTCGTCGATGAACAGTATTACCGGATTTTTTCGCTATAGGAAGTTCAAGATTTTCTTGAATCGTTCGACTCGTAGCTCCCCGGATGCGGTTGGTAATCATGTGAGTTTTTTTTTTCCGTGCCCTCGACTTCGCCCCGCAATCTTCCTTTATGATCTTCCGTGCCCTAAAGTCACTGATTCCGTGTTCCTTTGCCATTTTCCTTATTGAACGCACTGGATTCACCCGAATCTTCCTTTTGATAGCAGCGATAACCCTCGGAACTTGACCTCGGACGACCTGTGGCCACCTTCGCGGATAGTTGTCCTTTCTTTTCTCGGTCTGAAACCCTTTTGACGGTCCACCGGGACACTCCCACGGCGATTGAAATGTCTTTTTGCGTCATTTGCGCGTGAGACAAATCACGAATACGCTGCCACTTCGTCATGGTGCAACTGTCAAACTAAGTAAATCAGCATACAGCATACTACGGTATGAGCTATAGGTTACGTGTGTGCAAAGAAAACCAAGGCATTGTATGCACAGGTGAAACGGGAACCTTACTTGTACGATGGTGCAAACATCCCCGGTCCATGAGTTGATGGGTCGATATGTAGGGTCCTGGCGTCGGGAGCATTGGTACTCAGTACGGCAAACAAATCAAGGAAAAAAATCGTTGGTTACTTTTTTCCCATACATTCATTACCACCCTAGTGTTTACTGCTCCATGATGTTCCATACTATTTTCATGAGTTTTCAATAGTCAATCTTCCACTATTCGATGCGTATATCGTCTTTTTGGTAATTCGGTGAACAACAAAGTATTGTTTTAACACCACATAATTCGCTTTTCGTAAAAATCCATACCTAACTCGATGATCAATCAATTCTCAATTTCATCAATTTCAAGATTTAACTCTTTCGCACTCATTTGTAAAATAAGTTCTTGAAAAAAACCTTCCACTTATGAAGTGCCTCGTTTTGTATATATTTGTATTTCACATCTCGCCCGAACCGACTACCCCCAACCGAATCGACGGCCAAACAGCCTAGCTCCGAAGACTTCCGGAACTTCGAACCAACAACAACAACAACAACAACCACCACAACAACAGCCCCCGACAATCTACAAACCACAGTAGAGAATTGAACGAGAGAGTGTGTGTGTGTCTGTTGATTCGACGTACCAAACCTAAGGACTAGAATTACTAATAAGTACAACCTACCCACTAGAGCTAGCTAATAGGGCCCCAACCAGTGTAAATATGGCAATGGTATTATAAGTGATATTAGAGTTATAAGCACGTGCAACTGATACATACTAAGTAATAAAAGCTGAAAACTGTTCTAAATGTTGAGACTTTAATTAACACGCTTTCTTCTTTATTTCTATTACATAAACGGCCCTTTCCTTTGTTTCGACATTCCTAACCTCAAAACTTCAAAAGTCTACAAAAAGAAGAGGCTTTCGCCCGATCCATAACAGGGACGTTCCAGGATAAATCTCTAATTGGCCAAACAGCCACAAGCGCAGGCATCGCCAAAACGAAAATCATTCTTTCTCGTTCTATTTCGCAGGCGACGAAGACCCGTTGCTATTGTCCCCATCATCGTCAACTTCCTGCTGTTCGTCTTCGTCACCACTCTCATCGGAAGTGAGCGCTACTAACATGCAACAACCAAATAGTGAGAGTTTCATCAATTCCCCGCCACCAACCCCTGTCTCATCTCGCCCTGCACTAGTACCGCTAGAAGTAGTATCTAACATCACAGAGCCGAGTGCCGGGGGTACCATCATCTGCGGTAGCGAAATTACCTCCAACACTAGCAGCCGTAATTGCAATAATAGTAGCAATAGCATAAGTACTTTTAGTAGCTTTGAGCGAGCACCACCTGCAGTTCAATCACCACAACACGGAATGTCGTCACCATCTGATCACCATTCTCGTTCATTTTTCTCAGATCATCACTCACAATCCCAGCAAGCCCAGCCGACCACCATCGGTAGCCAAACGACACCGATGGAGATGGTGGTTATGCCAACCAAGGTCAAGGTATGTCATGAGTTACGAATGCTCTCCGATTTACTAAAACTATCTACCACTATCCAATCGAAGGAACCCGTGCCCGAAACCCACCCGAAACAATCACCCCTACAAGAATCCCAACAACCACAGACACAGAACAATACTACACTGAATAATGGATCAAGCACACCTGTCACCCCACTAAGCCCTACCACTCTCAGCACGGCCGAACTGGACACGGACCTGGAGAGTATTAAATCCAAGGTGAAAACCAAAACGTCCAAGGCGCAGATCAAGTTAAACGAACTAGCGCAGCAACCAGAGTTCCTCTCGAACGAAACCTTCAAACTGCAGACGTTCAAGTTCCTACCGAAATCGATCAGTCTATGCAACGACGATTCAGTATTCAAAGATAACTACACCAAGTTCTGTGATCGCAATGCAATTTTGAAACCTCCTCACCTTCAAGAATCAGAACCGTCCACGACGTCCTCCGAGGAAGTGACTTCCAGCAACACCACCACGACAACCGAAGTCTCCGAGGGCACCAAGGTGACCGTAACTAAAACAACCAAGACTACCAAAACGGGACCCGACGGAACGAAAACCGTTACCGTTCGGAAGACGATCGTCAAACAGAAGAAGATCACCGACGAAGACACCGACAAGGGCAAGCTCAAGACCCAAGGCAATCTTAGCAAGCAGGACCAACCACAGCCTGCAGCCACCGTGAAACGAACCAAGTTCCGTGTCAACCAAATGAGCAGCCGTGACGTTCCCGTCGCGATCAACAACGTGGCCAAGCGGTATCTCGAACAGAACCGATTAATCAGCACCGAGTCTGCCACCGTTCCCAAGGATGACTGCATTGTCAAGAAGATTCACCACAAAACCAGCCTCAACCATTTCCAACAGCAAACAACATCGCAAACGGAAACCACCAACAATTTGAAAAATTCGATGAAAACTCGCAGCATTTCCGTCGATTGGGATGCCGTAAATGCGGTGGAAAACCGATCGATGAAAACGATCAATTCCTTCCTGAGGCGCACATCGGCATCCACTGCCAGCTCGGCGGTCAAACAAATCCAAGCACAAATCGAGGCTGGTATTCACAAATAAGTCACGCTGCAACTCGAGTCGTTTTCTAATGTTACGCTTAAATTCCATTCAATTGTCATCGTTTTCACCAATTTGTACGTGTGCGCATCTGTTTAACAATACGGTGTAATGTGAAAGACACTATTCATATCCTTTTCAAAACAACAACTCTAGTCGAATATCACTTCATTTGTTAAATGTAGTGGGCCATTTCGTTTCCAGTTATCATCACTTTCCCCTCCTTCCACTATCTGTTCACACTCACTACCTATATGTATCACAACAATGCCTGGTCTACAATTTAATGATATTTATTAAAAAGCACAATTGTAATAGGTATAAAGAAATGAGGAGGGAACCGAACAAAATGTTAGAAATTTACATTCAAATGTTACCGCGATTAGCGAAGAAACGTTGTGAGAGAAGCAAGCATGAAAAAGAAGAAAGAGATGTTAGTACAGTGTTTATGTTAATGTTTAACGAGTAAATCAATGAAAATTTCATCAACCGTCATGAAGCATGCAGCTGAAATGTATATACTCAAAGTATCATTCAGGCTTGATAAAACAGTAATAAAATACAATAAAAATTGATTGATTGATGTTTTATAGCGAAAGAATGTCCTCACTTACTTGGTACGTGCTTGATTCCATCCTTTTGACCCATGATATGTAGTGAAATGCACTCTTCAAAACTCTTCCGAATTCTTCGTGGAATCCATCTTAGAGCGGATTGATTTATCCTTTACATTTCGCACAGAAGCTATTAGTCTTCTCGACAACTACAGCGCAGCAACGCTTTCTTAAATCATGTAGTTAACGAAAATAATCCTAGTTTGGACCTCTGCTTCGTGAGCACTCAGGACAGGGCTCCATTACTTTTTTCGACTCCTTGTGCACTAACTAGCCCGTTCCCATTACGCTCCTCTAATTGTCACTGTTGAGGACAAACTCGACGATCATCATAGATGTATTGTCTAGCATGGAATGGGATCTTTGATCCTGGTGACGTTGAGGCTGTAGCGCATTCCTTTTCACATATCTTGGTATATGTCATTGACAGACACGTCCCGAAAAGAACTCACCGTCCCTGGCAGACGAGAGAGCTACGTAGGTTGAAGTCAATCAACAGAGCAGCATTGAGAAGATTTACGAAGTATTACACGCTTCCTCTGAAACTTAATTATGTGATGCTCAATCACATGTACCAGCGAGTCAGTCGCGAATGCTTTTCAAATTTCCAACGAGGCATCCAGCGGAAACTAAAGCTACCACGAAATCCTTTGGAACTACGTGAACGAGCATCTCAGGGAGCTCGGCCTCCCATCGTCTGTGGAATTCAACGGAGAAGTTGCTGCCGCCTTTTTTCTAGTGTATTCAGTTGGAGGCCCAGGCTGAAAGCCTCCCTAATAAAGATAAATAATAATAGTGTATTCACTAATGAGATACTAAGTGACGATCATATTACCCTGGCTGCCAGAAACGTTCCAGTAAATGATCAAAAGCTGAGTGCAATTGATGTTAACGCTGAGATGATTTCCAAGGTCCCCCGACTCTGCTCAAGTCATCCTTCAATCCTAGACCTGATGGAGTTCCATGTGTATTTTTGAAGAGGCATATTGCTAGCTTGTTATTTCCGCTTCATCGTCTGTTCCGCATGTCTCTCTCCAGTGACATATTTCTATCCTGCTGGAAATTTGCACAAATGTTTCCCGTCCACAAAAAGGAAAGCAAACGAGCTGTGGATAACTATCGAGGACTTACATTGTACCGTTTCGAAGCTATTCCAGCTTGTGATTATGGAACCGTTGCTGTCCCATTTCAAACAGTATTTGAGTGCTGCTAAACATGGGTTTACTGCCGGCCGCTTTACAACCACCAATCTGCTGTGTTTCACATCGTATATTACCGAAAGCACGTCAGATCGGGTTCAAACGGACGTTATTTATTCAGACCTATTGCTAAACTCAGCAGGCTCGGTGTATGCGGTAATACTCTGAGTTGGGTTCGATCGTATCTTAACGGTCGCCGACTAATGATTGCCATAGGAGATTGCAGATTAGCTAGCTTCTTCGCCACATCAGGTATACCTCTGGGAAGTCACCTGGGACCGTAGATTTTTCTACTGTACTTCAACGACGTGCATTTGGGCATCGAAGCTCCTCTGTTATCATATGCAGATGACCTCAAAATCTTCCTAAGAATCCGCTCGATCGCTGACTGTAACTTTCTTCAACGTCAGCTGAATGTATTAGCTAGTTGGTGCAGTTTAAACGGAATGGTAATGAACCCAGCCAAACGCTCCGCTATTACGTTCTCACGAAAACAACAACCGATAATGTTTGCTTGGCTAGACAATCGAACGCGTGAATCAGGTGAAAGACGCACTCAAAAAATTTATCACCTATCTAATGGATGAAATCTATGTAATTTTCACATAGCTTTCATATGATCACATAGAAGCAAATCCCACCACAAAATCACATGAATATTATGAGGTCCATGATTCATATGAAACGTCGATAAAACGTCTAGAATTTTAGGGTTCATTTTCAGGATTGCTAAAAACTTCACCGACATCTACTGTCTAAAATCTTTCTATTGTTCGCTTGTTCGATCGACGCTTAACTATTGTTCAGTGGTTTGGAACCCAAACTACAACAACTCGCAATACGTGGACAATTGATGTTTTCGAAAATAAATATGGACATTGGACACTCGCCAACTCTTCACGTGGCAGGTATCTGGACAGCCCCTAATTTTCACGTAGTAATAATTTCGATGTTAAGCTTATTAAACATTAAATAACAGTCTGTTTTAACCCATTTTCAGCCTTAATGGCTTCGCTTGACCCATGTTGCCTCTCAGTAATCTGAAGGATATAAGCCGATTGGTTCAACAAGAAACTGTGCCGAGTTAGTTTCATTCATATCATGGGCCGTACGTCTGGTAGCTGTGACAAACATAATGGTACTACCATAGAGGTAACTCTAAGACTAGAAGGTCCCGAAGAAATGTGCTCAACTTTTTGGCTCAGCTCTGGTACTATCTTCGGTCCCAAGCTAAACGATTCACCCCTCGAAACATAGGAAAATCCAATAACCCCTCATTTTATCTGTCAAACTTTCATAGCGAATCAAAACAAACATTGTGTAGTACTAGAATTTTGACTAGAATAGGGTACGTTAAACGATTTGCTTGGGACCAATAGGCTACTCAAGTAGTGAGCCAATTTAAAATCGTTAGTTTCGTATTGATTGTTGGTACTACCCAGGCAACCAGAATGCATGTATCGCGATATGTGACCACTTTTTTCTATTAGGCCTATTCTGCGTGGCGTGTGAGGTGAGGTGACTAGCTGTCACTAGTGACGGGACAATTGTCACCTCAGGTGAGGTGACTCTCTATTTGATTTGCACGGAGACTCACCTTACGCGAAGTGACAATTGTCACTTCACTGTCACCTACCCGCAAAATCCTTCGACTGATAGAAAATATCGTGTTGTGGAGAGTTGACTGTTAGGCCTATTCCGCGCGGCGTGTGAGGTGAGGTGACAGTGAAGTGATGGTGAAGTGACAATTGTCACCTCGAGTGAGGTGACTCTCCATGCAAATCAAATGGAGAGTTACCTCACCCGAGGTGACAATTGTCACTTCACTAGTGACAGTGAGTCACCTCACCTCACCTCACACGCAGCGCAGTATAGGCCTATGTATATCTATAAACAAATCGTATATAATGTAAAAAATGGCTTAAACCTACCTACAAAAGTGGAGGCCATAGACGTTCAGATTCAAAATAACTTTGTTAGTGATTCATCCTGATGAATGTGAGTGTCTATAGTGGAATACCTGTATAAAGAAAGAGAGAAGGATTTGTAATTTCCATTTAATTCAACGACCTAAATTGCTTATTCTTGACAGATACGCGTATTTCGTCTACAGTGTGCAGACTTCTTCAGTTAGGCCTATTCTGCGCGACGTGTGAGGTGAGGCGACAGTGAAGTCATGTGAAGTGACAATTGTCACCTCGGGTGAGGTGACTCTCCAGGGCCACCCGCATTAGATCCGTTTGCGTTGCGTTGACGTAAATTTGACAGTTAGACAATAGATTTAGCTGTCACTAGGCGTCCGATCCGGATCTAATGTGCGTGGGCCTTCCGTGCAAATCAAATGAAGAGTCACTTCACCCAAGGTGACAATTGTCACTTCACCATCCCCTCACTCCCCACTATTCTGCGAGTCACGTGACTCTCTCTCACCGGTGAGGTGACTCTCCATTTGATTTGCATGGAGAGTCACCTCACACGAGGTGACAATTGTCACCTCACCGGTGAGAGAGAGTCACGTGACTCGCAGAATAAGGGGCTGTCTCCTCACGCCGCGCAGAATAGGTCTAAGTGTCTTTTACTAAATCTCGACTGAAGAAACCATCGATCAACCATTTTAAGGACTGGGGCCTCATTTCATACAAAACGCAATGAGACCCCTGGCTTTTAACACAACAAGAGAATGCAGCATGGAGAAACAAGGTTCGGACGTACCTCATGCTGACCCGCCTTTGTATGGAAGAGAACTAGTTCTCTTTTCGAGGTAACTTTGATGGCTTATTTGGAGACAATTCTGAAGAAGAAAGGACAACTACCTCTTTTTGTCGACTAACAAACTTTTCAGTTCCGGAGCACATAATTTTACGTTTGTTTACGTCGCATCCTTCGCATGATGCATGACAGTGGTCTATCACCAATTGTAGCACGGAAACTAAGTCCGATAGCAGGTTATCTTCTCTGTTTGTTTTGATCAAGCTTAATAACCTCTGATTATCCTCAACTGTATGAAGTTCCAAAAACGGATTATATACGCATCTAAGGGACAGTACAGAATCTCCTTCAAGCCTCGCTTCAAGCAACATGATCGCACAATTGGTCAAAAAGACGAGGCCTCAAACAGGAAGATTACCCAAGTGAACGAGGAGAAGAGCCTGTCCTTTATCCACGAAATGTTATCAACAGGGAGTTGGCTTTGCTGTTTCTTCACCCTTCTGTTCAATTTTCGTGCCTATTCGTGAACTCCTTGTCCTTCTCTGCATCTCTGCCTCCCGAAAGTCTCGCATGTTATTTCTGATGTGTTGTGCGACATTTCGACGTCCATTATCTTTGTATGATGATCATGCCTAGTTGCGTCTTATAAAACCGTAACACCGGTGCGGAAAATAGACAGTGTCTCCGGGTATTTTTTTTAACCAGCATCACTCTATTGTCGTATTGCATGAGCTCCATTTTGCAGCTCTTCTTTAAATTTTACTCTGTTGACCTCATGGTACTGGAAAAGGTATAGATATAGACATTATTAGTAATGCAGTGATATAACCAACAATTAATACGAAAATAACGATTTTAAATTGGCTCACTACTTGACTAGCCTATTAGCAACAATCAATACGAAACTAACGATTTTAAATTGGCTCACCACTTTAGTAGAAATCTAAGGAAAAAAAACCTGATATTTTTTTGATGCTTATGATTATTATATTTTTAGAAAAATAGATGAGGGAGTTCTATAAAAATAAATTCCCGGAAAAGTATCATTCTAGGGAATGGCATTTCAGGCAACAACACATTCCAGGAAATGTCACTTCGGGAAATGTGATACCACCTATTGTCTTAATGAATAAAACATAAATAAAGCAAAAACTACACTTTTGAGATGATACTACAATGCCGCGAGTGACGTGAGGTGACTCGCTGTCACTAGTAAGGTGACAAAAGTCACTACGAATGAGGTGCCTCTCCCTGCAAATCAAATGGATAGTCACCTCACTCGCGGCGCAGAATAAGGGAGCATTATCCAAACCGACTGTTTTGCCAAACGATTGTATGCCGAACGACTTTATGTCAAACGAGGTAACCCCTTTCTTCCCTTTGTAGGCTGCGTTGAGAATAGTGATCACTGGATAGTTCTCACATTCTAACTTGTCGCCCTTTTTGTACATTGGGCATATTACTCCCTCTTTCCACACTTCTCCGGTAACTGTCCCGGATCCTGACTATCCAGTTGGTGCAGACAAGTAGCCAACTTATCATGGCCCATTTTAATAAGTTCCGCTCCGGTACCATCCTTCCCAGCTGCCTTGTTGTTCTTAAGCTGTTTGATAGCATTCTTAACTTTACTTATCGTGGGAGTTGGCATGCCTCTTTCGTCCGCCGTACCAATGAAGCCATTCCTCCTGCTGACTTGGTACTTTGCCTCGGCACCATTCAGGTGTTCATCGTGCTGCTTCCAATCATCGCACATTCATCCCTCAAGATACCTCCATACTTATCCCGACACATTTCGGCTAGCTGCACAAAGCCATTTCTTCGCACTCGAACTCTTCCAGTTGGCGCTTTTTATCCCGCAAAGGATGAGTTTGCTGTCTTCGCTTCTGTTTGTATCGCTCCACTATTTGACGGGCCCCTTGTTGCAGCATAGTCACCCAGTCTCGTCTAAAACCGCCTGACACTCCTCGTCAAGCCAATCGTTTCGTCGATATTTCTTCACGAACCCAATGGCACCTTCTGCAGCGTTGTTGATGACTGCTTAAACAATACTCCAACAGTCTTCAAAAGGGGCTCTTCTGGCAACGCTGCTTCGAGACTTCGGGTCGCTCCAGATTGTACCTTGGTGGACGTCGGTACCGAATGTTGCAAACAAAGGAAAGTCTTTGACGCACTTTTATCGAATAGATGTCTGCGCACCGCGATAGGTCCTGACGTTGATAATATCCGAGAAGTACCTTCCATCAATCAAAACGTGGTCGATTTGTGATTCGGTCTGTTATGGTGATCTACAGGTGTACCGATATGGGAGTAGTTACCTACTGAGAGTTAACAAGCATCCATATTCTCGTTTAAGTGCGAACCGTGTATATTCGATAAAAAAAATCTTCTATTATTTTTATTTTCTATAATTCGAGAAAAAAATGTTTTTCAAATATTAACCAATGAAACATTTCATTAGTAGTCTGAAAATGACGGGAAAAGTCTACTGTTCCGAATGGTGGTGGCGTCGGGATTGTCAAATTTATTTGTTTCAATTAATTTACTGTTATAGTTACTTTAACGCGTGACTTTTCCGGGATGAGATTTGAACTCGTGACTTTGGCGTTAATGGATGAATGGATGTTAACCACTACGGCGGGGCGTTCAGTTGACTGCTTCCAGGATTTCGGACAGTTATAGTAATTGCAGTCCTGCTTTACGTTTCTAAAGAAGCTTTATTGTTGAAAAATCTTTGTTGCTCAAGTTGTTGTGTTTAATATGGATTTATCTACTATCCGATTTTTAAATCAATTTCGATTTTCTTAAAAGATATAACTTACGACCTTATTATTTCGTTGATTAAAATAAAGTAAAAAAAAAAACTTTTCAGATGTAGAGAAAAAATAAATAAGATTATTTGTTTGGAGCTCGGTCCAATACTCACCCCTATCCTCAATTCCATTCGGACGGATTTCCCATAATTTTGTTTGTATGGTAAATACGTTTCGAACCGAATACAGAATAAGGTTGATTATCTGCGTCGCTTTTCTAGTACGGTTTACTAGTTGGTAATGTACGGAAAGCAAACATAAAAGAAAACTTATTTAACGCGAATTTCAAACTTCGATTCTCCGGAAATCCGAAAGTCGAACGACACAGCTTGACTTTTTGCTTTGAAGGGCTTTTATTTTAGTAGGTACTTATATACTAACGACAAATGCGATGTAACCTCCTCCGGTTGGGACAACCCGCGTGACATTTGGCACACTCACAAAATAAGTTTTTTTTTTCACGGCGGATTGCTCACCAAACCAGAAGAGTGTTGGCTAACCCACCTAATTAATCAAAAAGTCTTTCGAATGCTTCCGAAGTACAACCAACCATACCGCTGCGCTATCAAACGGTGGTATTGCACTCAAAATCGTTTATTGCAGAGTGGGTATTGGTCTAGTCCGGAGAAAAAATGGTATTGCAACAGGCATCTTTTTGAGATCGTTCCGAGTGATGAACGCCGAGCTGGGACGTTGAGGTGGAAGCATTCTTAAGAGTTTTTGACCTTGTTGATGATGGAACACAAAACTTATTTGAAGCTGCAATCCATTCTTGCAACGTTAGAATGATGGCCAACTAGAATCGAAAACTAAAATGACAATATTATCATGCAAAGCGACGATAATCCTAGAGCTTCAATTTTCTTAAGCCATAAATAACTAACGGTAGTTTGCGAGAAAAATCACAACTTCAGGAAAGTTAAGAGTTTTAAATTACGCGAACATATTTACATACATCATTCGAAATAAGAAAAACCTTACCATGGTCAGCAGTTGTATCACCTAACAGTTTTACATATTCAATTATTGAGTTTCTAAAGCAGATAAGCGATACAACTTTCCATGTAGTATAAGGTGGGATACGAAGGATGACGGGGCAACACGGGTCATCTACTTGATTTTGTTTTTGATTGTCAACATCAACAGGCTCAATGTAGCCCCAAAAAAAGCAAACTATCATTGGGGTTGCATTTAACCTGTTGATTTTGACAAATGAATTAATACATTTACTAGCTGACCCATCGTGCCTCACGTTACCCTACATAAATTGAAGGAAATATATAACAATTAAACATATATTTTAAGTTCTTTTTCTAGGTTAAATATGTACAAAAATAAAATTCCAAGATTTCTACCGCCAGGAATGCAATCACAGAGATAAGTATACTCAAAATCCTTTCCATGGTTGTGTTTAATTCAATACACATATATCTCTCTCTTGAAAAGCTCATCGCCTTTCCCTATAGTGAATCATTCCCTCCAAGACCGCTTCCAGTTCGATGTTACAAATCGAAACAAAAGAAAGAAGAAGAAAAAAACCAGCTTACAATTGATATCGTTATGCCTATCATAATACAATTAAATATAAAAATGAATGGCATTTTGCTCTTGAAAACCCAGAACTGGAGTAGCTCTGCGGTCTTTCAGTTTGCCTTCCATAAAATGTTATCTTTTTGATGCTTTTTGTTTGTCTAGCCGAAAATCTTACCACTTGCTAAAATATTCGTATAAAAATACTTATACGATTTAGATTTACTAACTCTAACACGAAAAAAAAAGAGTGGTTGTATGTCTGATTGAGATCGGACATTGCCAATTATCGCAGCACAAAAAACTGCGACAAAGTCAACATTCTCAGATAGTTGTACAATAGTCCGGTGCAATGTTTGTTCCCGTTGTTCTACTGGTGATCCTGTTGGGCAGCTGCTGCACTCGATGTCATACTGGAGGCGGTGGCGGAGGAGGAGGACGCTAGCATGTGGCGGGCCTTCTTGGCTACGCTCGACTTCGGAGAGCTGGTCGATAGGCGTTTGCGTTCTTTCAGGTAGTCTGCAAATATAGAGAGACGTGATGGTTAGAAAATATGATTCACTGCGGTTGGTGATTAGTTAAGGGAAGAATAATACAGAATGCAACTCAAAACATGAACATTTCAGAACTGTTATGGTAACTCTTACTCATTTACTGATTACTTCACCTAGAAATTAGTTACCTGCTGAGGGTTTAGAATTTTCCCACCTTTTTACAAAGATTCCCTTGAGCTTTCTGGACGCTCAGGGTACTCTAGATTTAGCTACAAGATCACTGAAAGTTCGTAAGGCTCTGGTTACTTAAATAACTTTTTCGACAACAGAGGCTTCCCAGGTGGTCAGAATTTCGAGTTGTAGCGCATTTTGGAAGCTCAAATGGGTTCATTTAGTTGAACAACTTTCCCAACAAACGGTAGCGCAAATCTGGCTATATAGGCGAAATGGATGTAATGTCGACCTAAATGCCCCTAACATGGGCCCAATACATAAATTCAGCAATCGACCAAAAATATCCATAAGTACCGTCCCAATGACGCGTTCACTTAAATCAAATTGATAAATAGCAGATTTTTAGCGATGGGCTCATAGGCCAACATTTTAGCCATTTCCCCTAGTACATTTTGAAATTGCATGTACACTAGGGTGGGTCAACATTACAACCCCATGTTTCCCACAGCTCTTTCGATGCGTATTAAGGCTCCCAACAACTATGCTAAATTTGAGCAATTTTTATTATCATCTGAATTTGCGGGAACATTTTAAATTTTGTATGGGCAAATGTATGGAAATGGCACGAAACTATTCATTTGCTTGCTTAAAATTCAAAAATTGCTCAATTTTAACTAAACCTCGGACAGATCATAACCAGATTCGCTTAAATTTTGCAGAGTTGTTGGGGACCTCAATACGCATCGAAAGAGCAGTGGGGAGCATAAGGTTGTGATCCACCATATAAACTTGACCCACCCTAATATGCACACCAGCGCCACGTGGTGGCAAAATCCAGAACTTACATTCACACCATTCCCAACTGATCAGGATTGCGAGACATAGCACATACTGAAATCAACACTAGCGCCACGTAGTAAATTAATTTTCAACTAATATCTTCACCATCCGAAAGCCATTAGCTACCTAACCAACTTTGCCGAAGACTGCTACGTTTTAAATGGACTGAATCTCGAGATAAGCACATTATTCTTGCCTGCAGGGCTGGTAGTGGGTATGTAATATAATAGTAGTGATTTAAGTGAATAAAATAACGAAAATAGTGACCTCGAAAAATTATTATTTGTTTAATTATTATTAGGCAATCAAATGGCAGCGTATTGTCCATTTTCTCACCCTGTACTATTTTTCTCTGACTCGATTTATGGCAACAAACCATTTATTAAGATCAGGGTGGCCAGTGAATTTTCATTTAGGAATTCCCGGTTTTTCCCGGTTCAAATCTTAAGAAATTCCCGATTGAAAATTGAAAATGAAATTGAACGCATTTTTAAGAACGTGCTGAAAAGAATTTACTGAAGAGAAAAAAATGTGACTTAAGAAGATTCCCAAGATTCCGGAGCTTTCAAATTTGTCTAGAGTCATAACAATCTTCGTGATGCAAGATTTGGAGCAAAAATAATTAAAATGTGAGATTTTGAAAATTTTCCAAGATCACAGATTTGATTAAAACAATATCATTATGATCATTATAAGAATTACTTATGAGTCGTGGAGTCATAATTGTCACGCTCTGAGACTTGGAAGCATTTAAGGGTTATAACAAATTACAGAACAATCTATAGAATCTAGTGGACAAACCCTGGAGTTTTTAATAAAATTTAAAAGAATTCAAAGTGTTGATTTCAAACAATTATTAAGAAGGATTCCCACACAGTTTTCGAAGGAGGAGTTCTGAGCAGAATTCCAGAATTATTCTGGCATGAAATCCTTAGAAAGTGTTCGATGAATTTGGAGAAGAATTTACTCACCTTACCAATCAGGCTAACGCCTGGAGAAGAACGCAAGTTCTAAATTAAATTGTTAGGTAATTTTAGAAGATTTATATTTTTTAATTCTTTATTTAAGAGATTTTTAGCCGAAGGCTAGTTCATCTCTTGAAGACTTAAAAAGGAGTTGTGAAAAACAAAAGTTTTCGGAAAATTGCTACAATAGATTTTCAAAGGAATCAAAGCCTCCGGGTAGACTCAAGGAAATTCCAAAAAGAATTCAACGGTAATTATTACGCGGAGTGTTTTCTGGTTTTTTTCAGAATGATTTCAAAATAATTCAGAGTAGAATTACAAGTTAATTCTTCTGAACAACGAAAAATTAAAACCCCGGAAAAGAATAATTCAGTTTCGGTTTTTACAAATATTTGTTTCCAAAGTCCAGCATCTTCAATATTTTCTTTTAAGGACGATGCAAAGTGCATTGAAACGACAAAAATAAATTTTCAATATTGCTGAGTGATTAAGTTCTAAAAACAATAAGACGGGAAACTGAAAAAATTATGCAGCAAATAGAGCAAGACATTCATTTGGTAAAAAATTACTCTGTTTTAATGGTTTATTCCGAAATTCTGGTGTAAATTTTTTTTCCTATGATATGGTTAATTTATTTTTCCCGGTTCTCTTGTCGAATTCCCGGGTTTTTCCCGATTACTTTTTAAATTCCCGGATATTTCCCGGTATTCCCGGTTTCCTGTTTTTCCGGTTGTAAGATGATTTCAAATTCAGATCGATCGATTTTGAGGCACAGAGAAAAATGTTCAAAGTCTCGGCCATAGACAAATTTTGACAATTTTTAGACAATCAATTTCAAAGATTTCGGATACATTTTTTTTTTTTTTAGCCTTTGGGCTAGTTCATCTCTATATTTCGGATACAGAAACTTGTGTAGCACCTCAAATTTTCATAACCCTGGGACCTACACAACTTTTCTAGATAGCAGTCTAAGAAAAAATCTAATTGTTCTGGAATGAAGAAAAATTTCCAATATTCAAGAACAACATGTGAAAAGGGCATACAAGCTTTTTGTAAACAAACCTTCATATACCTTTTTTTCGTCACCCATATGACACCAACGCAAATCATCAACATCAACGGGTAGTGGAAACTTTCCCCTTCCCGATGATGTTATTGGTTTGCGTGGGCGACTCTCGGTTTTCGAAAAAAAAGGCCTACAAAGGTTTGTTTACAAAAAGCTTGTATGCCCTTGTCACATGTGGCTCTTGTTATGGAAAGATCAAGGACATAGAAAACGTTGCATGCGTCTAGGACTTAACATCTCGATCTGAGATAAATGGAACAATTTTCATATTTTGAATATATTTAAAGTAAGATTACAGTCCTAGAAAAAATTAAATGTAAAATTAAATGAAAATAACATTTTAAAATATTGAACATAGATTTTTTTTTTCAAAATCTGGGTTTGAAATTTTTTTGATTCCATATTACAAGTACGGAAAAAAGTACAATACAATTTAATGGACTAAGAAAAGAGCTAAAGATTGTGCTACATGATTTTTGCTGGATGTTTGAAAGAATACTAAAGCTACCGAGCTCCAACAATTTTCAAAATTCTAGTCTTTGAAAAAATGGCCAGAGCATGAAAATTTTCCTAGACCATTTTGGAAAATCTAAGGCTTGGAAAACTTTCAAAAAGCCAGAATATTTGGACCAGATTATTTTTTACAAACATAGAAAATTAGTGATGCAATTGTCTATGCTATTTCGAGATCACAGGCAAGCGAAACAATTAGAAATTGTATAATCTGGTCCGGACAAACTTTGAAGGAAAACGGACTTGAATGTCTAGATCACGGAGTTGAAAAAAAAAATCAAAATGTTAGTGATTCCATCAGCAGCAAATGGACAGTTCTGGTCTGTTCAGAACTCTTCTCGTCGAACTTTACACGCTGATTTTTAATTATTTGAGGTGACTAGTGACTAGAGAAAAGTTACTAAATTTTAAGAAATAGTGACTTCAGTGACTTTTGGGAGGAATGGTGACTGACTTGAAAATAGTGACCTAACCTCTAAAAAGTGACCTGCTACCAGCCCTGTGCCTGGTATGGTCAACCTTCAGTGACGATTGTTGGTGATTATCGAAGTTTATCGCTAATGTTTCTGATCATGCCGTGTAAACAAAAATTATAAACGCATTATCGTTTACAGAATTGTCCATTGCGATTCTTTGGTTAGTTTAACAAAAATGAAAATAACACTGTATTCATCGAATTCGGAGATTTTCATTCCCTGATAAAGCATCATATATTTCACTTTCCCTTTTTTATGTTGTTGCATTCTTTTTCTCTCGAATTGGATATTAGGCTTGTACTCGAAAAAAATGCACAATTTTTATCCGTGGGTAAAAATTGATGAAATTCTGGGTATAACTAGTTTGGAGTGAATTTTTTACATGTGCAGAATTTCATAACAATCGGTTCAGTGGTTATTGAGCTGTCATCGAAACAAGAAGAAAATCGCCGGAGAATTTTGTGCGCCGTCATGGAAAATCCGACTGCGACCATGAGATGGATCGGAAGACAACTGGGAATCACCCATACAACTGTGTCTCGGGTGGTAAAATCGTTTAAGGAGTCCCAGACGACCGAGCGGCGGGCTGGAAGTGGAAGGTAATCGAAGACCGCTGACCCTGTGAAGGCCCGGAAGGTGTTGGATTATTTCAAGCGTAATCCGGACCTTTCGATTCGCGACGCGGCTCTGAAGACAAAGTGTTCCGCCTGGTTCGTTCAGCAAACCATGAAACGAGCTGGGCTTCGTATATTCAAGGTCCGGAAGGCACCGAACCGGCGTGATCAACAAAACACGGCGGCCAAATCCCGCGCAAGGAAGCTGTATCGAGAGTGGTTAACGAAACCGATGTGTGTGGTTATGGATGACGAAACCTACATCAAGGCAGACGCAAAGCAGATACCGGGGCTGGAGTTCTACGTTGCCAAATCACGGTTTGATGTTCCGAAAGACATAAGGAAGAAGAAAGTGGACAAATTCGCCAAAAAATACT